AAGGGAAGGAGGGAAGGGGAAGGGAAGGGAAGGGAAGGGAAGGGAAGGGGCAGGGGAAGGGGAAGGGAAGGGGAAACGGAAGGGAAGGGGAAGGGAAGGGGAAGGGGAAGGGGAAGGGAAGGGAAGGGAAGGGAAGGAAAGGGGAAGGGAAGGGAAGGGAAGGGAAGGAAGGGGAGGGGAAGGGAAGGGGAAGGGGAAGGGGAAGGGAAGGGAAGGGAAGGGAAGGGAAGGGAAGGGAAGGGAAGGGAAGGGAAGGGGAAGGGAAGGGAAGGGGAAGGGAAGGGAAGGGAAGGGAAGGGAAGGGAAGGGAAGGGAAGGGAAGGGAAGGGGAAGGGAAGGGAAGGGGAAGGGAAGGGAAGGGAAGGGAAGGGAAGGGAAGGGAAGGGAAGGGAAGGGAAGGGAAGGGAAGGGAAGGGAAGGGAAGGGAAGGGAAGCTGTGGCTGCGGCTGCAGGTCTCGTTGCCCGGCCGCGGGGCCGGTGGCGGTGCCGCAGCCCCGATAAGGATCGGTGTTTACTGTACACACCCCCTGCCCAGCCTCCTGTTTACAGCAAACGAGCCCGGGAGGGGCCCGCGGTGACCTCGCACCGGGACAGCGGCAGCGGGGCTGTTACAGCGCGGCTCCGGTTACCCCCCGCCCGCCCTCCGCAGGGCCCAGCGGCCCCATGGCCGCGCCGGGCCCCGCCGGTACCCACCCTTCTGGCAGTAGCCGGAGGTCCAGCAGCGGTACTCGAGGCGCCCGTTGACGCTGGTCTGCGCGCACGGCTTCCCCACGTCCAGGATGCCCGGGCAGACGTCGGCGCACTCCGCGGCCGGTTTGTTCCCCACGATGTAGGGGTTGTCCCCGGCGTCGGGCGGCAGCAGCAGCCCCCAGTCGATGGTGGAGAGGTGGCAGAGCTCCTGGTTGCGCTCGATGCGCACGGAGCCGCGCAGGATGTGGCCCAGGCTGTGCAGCCCCACGTCCCGCAGGTGCGGCATCTCGAAGATGACCAAGGCGTAGCTGAAGAAGAGGTTGGTGCCGCGGATGACGGAGAGGTTGGGGAAGAGATCCCGGAGGCTTTCGAGCCCGTACACGCGGAACAGGAGCAGGTACTCGGTGATCATGAGCAGGCGGGGGAAGCTGAGGCCGCGGAAGTCCTCGGCGCCCGTGGTGAACATGAGCAGGATCTGCAGGTTGCCCTCGATGATGGAGCAGTTCTCCAGCTTCTGGAGCTGGGAGACGTCGTTGCGGATGTCCATGCTGCCGCAGACTGCGGTGGCGACAAGGGAGGGGGGGACGCTGTGGGCAGTGGGGATGGGGCCGCTGCCCCCCAGCACCACCATGCACGGGGGGGTTGATGCCGCGGCTGTGATGGTTGGGGTGACAGGAGCGGCTGTGACAGGCGGCTCAGGGGTGATGCTAACGAGGGCTGGCTCTTGTCTCGCCTCCTGTCAGCCCCACACCACGGCCCTGCACCCCGCGGGGGTCAGGATGCTCCATGGGGAGCTCACAGCATCTTCCCCCCCATTGATGTGTGGTGATGCAGGTCCTGCTCCAGCATTCCCAGTGCCCCCCCACTGGGTTTGCCATCGCGGGGCCTCCCCACCCAAAGAGAGGGAATATCGCAGGAGCATCCCGCACTTCCCAGCGCAAGCAGGGATGCAAGGAGGAGGCAGCGGCTTCCCGGCTGCAGCATCCCCAGCCCGGGCCCTGGTGCTGAGTGCTGAGATCCCAGCGACGGGACCTCATGGATGCACATGGGCCCAGGGACCCTCTGCGTGTGCAGCAGGGACGGGGGGGCAGGACAGACCCTGATCCCAGACGTTCCCCCCTATGGCCATAGGAGCCACAGGAGCCCCCCCCTTCCCTTTTCCATTCACCCCCATTGACAGCGCTGCCCATGGCTCCTTCCCACCATTCCAGCTCCCAGCTCCAGCCAAACCTCCCACCACGCTCCCTTCTTCCCATCCCAACAAATGGAGGGGGGGGGGGTCCGCATTCTCCTCTTCCTGGATGGGGGATTCAGAGCACACGGGGAGGGAACCGAGGCAGGAAGCACCCAAAGAGCTTTACAACCCCCCCATGGGGGATTCAGAGCACACGGGGAGGGAACCGAGGCAGGAAGCACCCAAAGAGCTTTACAACCCCCCCATGCACAGCCCCCCCCATCCCAGCACTTACTTTCGGAGGGCGCCCGCACGGGGGGCAGCGGGAGGGGGCCGAGGAGCAGCAGCACCAGCCCCATCCGCAGGGCGCCCCGCACCCTGGTCCCCATCCCCGCCGGGACCCCGGCCCCGTCCTGCTTCGGGCGCTGCCGCTCCGTGTCCGGCCGCTGGCCCCTATGGAGCGCGCTATGGGGCGGGGGCGGCCCCGCGGCCCCTCCGCGTTGTTGTCGGCTGCCGCACACCAAATATTTAGCCTGAAAACTGCGCGGGCCGCGGCCAGCGCTTGTTTGGGAAATAGAGGAGGGCAAACACCGCCCCCCCCGCCGGGATGGGCCGGGAAGCGGGGAAGGGCCGAGCCGCTCCGGGGTCCCCAGCGGCACCCAGGGGCTCGGGGCAGGGATGCAGCGGGCGCCGGTGGAGCCCCCGGTGCGGTGCAAGGTGACAGCGCCGCGGTCACCCCCCGGGAGCACGGGGCCGGGAGCCCACGGTCCCCCCCCGGGAGCGGGAGGAGCTGCGGGAGAGGAGCGGGGATGAGGGGAGGTTGAGTTCCCACTCTAGGGCTGAGCAGAGGGGAGGGTCCGGCCGTGGGGCAGCCCCATGGGTGGATGGAGGGAAGGAGGGATGGATACAGGGATGGAGGGAGGGATAGAGGGATGGATGGAGGGTGGCAGGGAGGGAGGGAGGGATGGACGGAGGGATGGATGGATGGATGGATGGATGGATGGATGGATGGATGGATGGATGGGTGGAGGGATGGATGGATGGATGGATGGATGGATGGATGGATGGATGGATGGATGGAGAGAGGGAGGGATGGAGGGATGAACGGAGGCAGGATCTGGCTGTGGGTCCCAAGAGAAGCTCTCTGCTGGAAAAAGCCTTTCAGGGGCAATTCCCGGTGTCTGGAGCAGCCGGATCCGTCCTGCAGCAGCGGTCCCCAAACAAGGGTTGAGAACAGGAAACCCGGCTGGTGGCTGCCGTGGGGGAAGTGGGTGCGAGGGTGCAGGGAGGGCCGTGGGGCTCTTAAGGTGGAGAGAGCTGGGGTTGGTGCCTCGGGATCCATCCCCATCCCCAAGGCCATCCCTGCTCTGCAGAGCCCAGCGCAGCCCATCCCTGTCCCGGTGCAATGGATGAGCCATTCCCAGCTCGAATCCCTGTTCTCAGACACCTCGTGCCAGCGCGGGGCTGGCTCCGGAGCAGGCGGCACCAGGAGGGAATCGCGGCTGACGTGGAATCATGGGATCACCCAGGGTGGAAAAGCCCTTCAAGCTCATCCAGTCCAACCGCTCCCAGCATTGCCAAGGCCACCCCTAACCCATGGCACTGAGGGCCTCGGCTCCGCGGCGTGGGACCACTTCCAGGGGTGGTGACTGCAGCCCTGCCCTGGGATGGAGCTGAGGGTGCTGGGCTCACTCCGCTCTGCTCCCGGGGCCACCCTGCCTGGATGTGTCCCATCAGCCAAGGCTCCTGCAGCTCCATCGCTGCTTCCTGCCCCTTGCAGGCAGCTGCAGCCCCCCCATCCCATCGGCTCCAGCCCCTGTGAGCCCGGGCAGAGGGGGGTGCATGGGGGGGGTCAGGGTTTGTGCTGCGATGGGAGGGAGGTCCCAGATGAGCACCTGCAGGGGCTCCTTCACTGCCAAAGGAAGCCTTTGGGGGCAGGAGGAGAGCTCCAGGGCCTTTATCCCAGCTCCCCTCTAGGGCTAAACGTGAGCTGCTACGCATGGAATAGGAATAGGAAAAGGGCTTCAAGCTCCAGGACCCCACAACCCCCCCCCGGAGGCCACAGAGGAAGGGTTTGGGAGCAGAGCTCCAGCCCCGGCTCTGCCGTCACCGCGCTCCAAGCGGGAATGCCGAGGGTCGGGAATGCCGAGGGTCGGGAATGCCCATCACGGCCGAGCAAAACCCAGAGCCCATGCCCTTGGTGGAGTGTTTCACCCCTGGCTATTCAACAGCATCTGCTCGGAGGGGAAACCAAGGCTGCTCCCAAACCATGGGCTTCAGCCTTCCCGTGGGAAGGGAGAACGGATCCGGGATACCTGGAGCAAGGAGCCGAGCACCAAGGGCCGGACCCCGATGTGATTGAGTTCATTGCAAAGTTTATTCCTTTATCAAATCCCTCGCTGGAGGCCTGGGCTCCACAGGGGAGAGAGCAATAAATTACTCACCAGTGACTCGATTCTGCTCATCCAACGCTCCAAAGGGGCTCCCAAAGTACTAAAACATCCCGGGAAGTCACCCGGGAATGGGGGGGGGGTTTAAAGCACTCTAAGGAAAGGTTTCACTCAGGGTTGCTTGGTTTGAACAGGAAACGGGGGAGAAAAAAAAACCCCTTTGGGAGTCCTAAATCCAACAACGACGAGAAGCTGCTTTACAACACTAAAACCCATGGTGGGAATGGGAGGGCAGCGCCAGCTCCGGCCCCTTTAGCAACAGAGTGAGGCCACTGAGGTTGGGCTGCGGGGAGGGGTCTGCAGGAGGAAGGGGGGGGCAGGAAATGCACTGACACACACGGAGCATCTTCATCCGACAGCACCTCGGGATCCTCCCTGCGCTCACAGCCGGGTGTCCCCAGCTCTGCCCTGCAAGAGGAGCTCCCCCTCGGCACCTGGAGGCTGCTGGAGCCCAGGACAGGAGCAGGGACTCAGCATCCCTCGCCCAGACACCAGCAGCGGCGGCGTGAGAGGAGCCGGGGAGCTCCTCAGCCCCGAGGATGCCCCAAACAAAGGGACCACAAAAGAAGGGGGCACAAGGGCTTGGAAGCGTCTTTCCGAGAGGCCGATCCCGCTCCGAGCGCGCAGCGAGTCCAGGAGAGGAGCAAAGTGGGAACTGGGAGTTTATTGAGACTCTGCCCAAGGGTCCTGCAGCCCCCGTGCCCAGAGCCTCGTGCCAGGCCCAGCTCCTGCCTGGGGCGGGATCCGTTGTGTGGAACAGGCTTGGATTGACCCTTCCATGGGCTTGCTTGTTAAGGAGGGAGGGGAAAGGTTGCAGGTGGAGGCTCAGGCCCAGGCGCACGAAACCCTTCTCGTGGCGGAGGGGAGGGCCTGGGTGCTGCCCAGGAGCAGTCCAACACGGGAGGTCCCCTGGGACACAGCCAAGGAGCAGGGCAGAGGGGTCAGAATCCGTATTTGGCCTGAGTCTGGCGCCTGCTGAGCTTGTTTTCAGACCAAGTGTTCTTCAGCTCCAGCTCTCGCTCCTTGGCCTGCGGGACAGGAGAGGATGGAGATGAGCGCTGCTGAGTCAGCAGCCCCCAGAGCTTCACCCCCCCACCCCTTTGCCGGGGGTGCCCGGGCACTGCAGGCAGCAGCCTCCTCCCAGGAGCTCGCAGCATCCCCATGCCAGAGGCCTGACTCCATAGGGATGCACAGGCAGCTCGTTCAAGCTGAAACGTGGCTTCTTGAGGGGACAGCGTCAGGAGCTGCTCCCGAAGCACAGGGCAATGGGGTGGAAGGAAGACAGGCGGCAAAGAGCCCCTGAACACACTGGGGCTGGGGGGGGGGAGTGAAGCAGACCCAAAAGCCAGCAGGAGCTCAGGGCTAGAACACCCTCAGGGTCGAGGTGCTGCTGCCCCGAGGGTGCTGGTGGCCCCAGGTGCCTGGCGCCGCTCACCTGATGGATCAGGTACGTGATCTGGTGCTTCCTCCTCTGCTGCCCCGTGGGCTGGTCTCCTTTTTTCTAGGAAGCCAAAGGAAGTGAACTGTTAAAGGCTGCAAAGATCCCGACCCAGAGAGCGGAACGCGAGCGGAGCCTGCACAAAGCCGGGGCAAGGGGAGCTCGGACACGAGAGGATGCTGTCACCATGAGAACAATCAGCCTTGGAATCGCATCCCCAGGGAGGTGGCAGATTCCCCATCCCTGGATCCTTTGAAGGTTCAGCTGGGCTGCCTTGGCTACACCGTGCTTTAGCCAAGAGGGGATGGACCAGGTGATCCTTGAGGATCCAGTCTCAGAGTTTAGGACTCTGAGGTGCTTTGTTTCCTGTTAAAGGGCTCTGGAGCAGTTCCTGCCTGGTTTTTGCCTCCTGCACCCCGTGTTTTGAGCAGCTCTGATGTGGAACTCTTCATACAGCACCCAAGGGTCCCTGTCCCCCCCCATGCTGGTGACTGAGCCAATACACCTCCAGCTGTGGCTGTACCTTGCTGAAGGACTTCATGGTCTTCTCCTCCGTCAAGGACTTGGTGAGCCACTGCTGGGCTCCGCTGAGCTGATCATCACCTTTGATATCCACAAAGTTGATCTCCTCCCGCCCTCGGTTCCTCTTGCCCTGCAGCCGCTTGAACTGGAACGAGAGAAGACACCAGGGTTACAGCAGCACTGGAGCAAGGCAAGGGGGATGGAGGCTGAGCCCCTGAGCACGCCACGAGCCCCACCACCCACCACCTCCCCTGCTAGCAGGGGGAGCTCTGCTTTGCCACAGGCCCTAAAGCTCTCAGCAGGAAGGCTCTAACCTCACTGCCCCACACACAAGAGGGAACAGCACCTCCTCATCGGCACCTCAGCCTCCTGAGTTTAAGCTCTAGGGAGGTGCCTGAGGTTTTGCTGCCAGCACGTCCGCCTCCCATGGCACAAATGCACCTCTGAAGGGCAGAGGTCCCTCGGAGATGGGTGACTCCTCGGTTTATGAGCCTGGCAGCTTCTGCACAGGATCAACAGTGGGAAAAGGTGGTTGAAAAGAGGGGTTTGAGGGGTTTAATTCACCCCCGCGCTGGAGGAGGCACCATGAAGGTACCCCGAGGGTGGCTCATGTGCAGCTCAGCAGGAAACAGCTTCACCCCCTCTGTCTGCCCCTCACAAGGAGGGGATGGGGCTCTGGAAGCAAACACCCCTGATGGATATCACACATGGACCCGCTGAAGCAGCAGCCCAAGAGACCGCATGGAGGACACCACCCCCTGCTAGACCCCATGGAACAAGTGAGCACGAAGCACAGGGGGTGCCGGTGGGGTCCTGTGCCCCAACAGAGCTGAAACAGCAATCCTGCAGCAGGGCAGGGAGGGAAGTGCCAACCGCTTCGTCATCGATGAAGGAGGAGTCGCTGCTCATCTCCTGTGCTGCTGCCGGCGCCGGTTCCCCCTCCTGGTAGTAGCTGCTGCTGTAGTAATCCTGTCAGCAGAAGGAGAAGCAGGTTGGGAGATCAGCCCGGGAGCATCCCCACAGTGAGGTCCCGGGATGGAGCACGGAATCCGGCCCTCACCCCACCGGCTGCTGGGGAGCAGAGTGTGTTACACACAGTGGGAAGTGCCCCATCCCTGGCAGTGCTCAAGGCCGCGTTGCATGGGGCTTGGAGCACCCTGCTCCAGTGGAAGGGGTCCCTGCCCACAGCAAGGGCTGGAGCAGGAGGAGCTTGAGGTCCCTTCCACCCCGACCCAGCCCCTGGCGTGTTAACACCGGGGATTTCTGCTCCCTGTGCCCCTGCTCTCGCAGGTGACATCCCCACAAGCTGCAGGTCTGCTCCCAGAACCACCTCAACCATCCCCTCATCCGAGCGGCCTCCCCAGAGCAGGACCCACCTGATAATAGGTGCCAGGCTCGCCGTAGGCAGGGAACTGGCTGTAGGCTTGGCTGCTGTAATCCTCTCCAGGCTTGGGCACCCAAGTGTGCGGAGCCCCACTGGAGCCTGTGCCCGTCTTGAACTCCAGAGGCGCATTGGCAGCAGCGTCCTGGAAGTGGGGCTCCGGCTCCGTGCCGGGGGGGGGTTCCTCGGGCACCCCGGGGCCAGAGTACAGGTAGGTGTCGGCACCCACCGCGCCGGGCTCGCTCCTGTCAGACAAGGAGAAGTAGTTCTCTGGCTCGAGCTCGTCGTCGCTGTCATCCTCTTCCTGCGTGATCTGTTTGGTTACCTGCAGCGCCGCGCTCTTGGCAGCGGCTTTGATAGCGGAGGGGGAAGGAGTCGTGGGCACTGCTGGCTTGGAGGGAGGTTTGGCTTTGGAGGACGAGGCGGGCGCCTTCGCTTTGCCGTCAGAGGGGTTCTCTCCCGCTCTCCTCGAGACGGAGTAGGGCAGAAGCAACCGGTTGCTCTCCTTCACGGTCAGGTTCTTGGGCTGGGGAAGCAGCGCCGACAAACCCGAGCCCTCGCCGCGGCTCTGCAGGGTTCCAGGCAGGGCGAACGGTACCCGAAGAGGAGAGAGAAGGGGGACGAGTGAGACCCAGGAGCTCTGCTGCCCGTCCGCGCCTCTCCACCCGCACCAACGGCTTCCCCATTGCTCTGAGCACACCAAGGGCATTGGTTGGCTTAGAAGTGCCCTTTGCAAGCAGGTGCCAGGTTCCCCCCTCAACCCCTGGCTTCTGGAGGCTGAAAGGGATGAAACTGCCCCCGAAAAGGGGCAATCCCTGAGGGGAGCTCAGCGGTTTGATCCGCTCAAAGCCACGTGCTAAAGGGGCTCATTGGTACCAGTGGAAAGCCCAAGCTCCGTCCCCAGTCAAACGCTTCCCATTCCAGGGGTTTACCTGAAGAGGATTTTTCTTCTTGCTTGGTTCATCTTCCTCGGAATCTGACTGAGAAAGAGAAAGAGAGCTCAGCACAACGGGAGGCACCCAAACGGCAAAGGCAACCTAGCACCAAAGCAGGCAAAGAGCCCAGCCATGCGGCTCCGGGTTGAGCATCACCACTGGGGATGCGGTCCAGCCCTTCCGACGCACCCAGGGCAGGGCAGGGAGCTAAACCCCTCCTTGGTTCCTGCTGTGAGAGCGACCCAGGAGCAGCTCCTGTCCCACCGGGAGCGTCCAAGGCCAGGCCCAGGGAAGGGGAGAGGGGAAGGCGCTCACTAAGGGGGCCGGGGACCTGCTTTTCCCTGCTCCCATCACGGATTTAGGGCTCGGGAGCCCTCCAAGGCGCTGCGAGCGCAAGCAAAGAGGGGAGCAAACACCCGAAGGTCCGCAGGGCCTGAACCTGCAGAGCCAGAAGCACGGGGCAGGAGCAGCTGCGGCTCGGGAGCAAAGAGCAGAAGGGACTTGAGGGGGATGCGCCCGCATCATCACCTCGGGCCCTGCAGGGGGAAGCCGGGCTGGGGAGAAGCTGGGGTTGCTCCGTTAGGATTCTAAAGAGGGTTTCTCCATCAGGTTAATTCTGCAAAGCTCTTCAGGATTAGGGCCGGCAGCCAGGGCAAATCCCCCTGCCGATGCCACGACAACGGCCTCGAGTGCCCTCCTGGATCAGCATGGGATGGGTCGAGTGGAAGGGACCTTAAAGCTCCTCCAGCTCCAAGCCCTGCCATGGGGCAGGGACCGCTTAAACTGGAGCAGTTTGCTCCAAGCCCCTGTGTCCAACCTGGCCTTGGGCACTGCCAGGGATGGGGCAGCCCCAGCTCCCCGGGGTCCCGGCACCCTCACCGGGCTCCTTCCTCCTATGGAACCCCTTGTGCTGGGGAGGGGGGGGGCAGAGGAGGAAGGAGCCGCTGCTCCCCCCATGCCAACGCCCGGGCGGGACGGAGCCGCTCGTACTCACATCTCCCCCGCGCAGCTCGGGCACCGGGATCCGCACCGGCTCCGTCCTCTTCTTGGCCTTGGGGAGGCTCAAATCGGGCCCGGCCGCGGCCGGAGCGGGCACGTTCGGGGCCTCGGCGGTGGCCGCGTTCCTGGGGGGGGGCAGGAGGAGCCCCCCGAGCCGCGGCTGCTGCTCCCCTCCGCTGCCGCCCGGCTCGGGCCCGGTGCCGAAGCCCCTCAGGCCGGGCGGGGGCCCCATAGGGAAGGGAGGCGGCGGCGGCTGCCCCGCGGGGGCCTTGGGGGGAGGCAGAGAAGCGAAGAGGCCCCGGGCCGGGGCCTGCTGGGCTGCGGCGGGAGGAGGAGCAGGAGCGGCCGCTTCCTCCTCGTCGCCCGCGGGCTCCTCCGCATCGCTCTCCTCTTCGCTGCTGGCGTAGGCCACCAGGGACATGGCCCCCCGAGGAGGGCGGCCCTCCGCGGGCAGCCGCCGCTACGCGAGGCCGAGGATCCGCCCTCCGGGCTAGGCCGCGCCGCCGACCGCGCCTTCCGCGAGCACAGCGGGCAGGGAGGGGACGGAGCGGCCGAGGCTACGCGGCCATGGCGGGGCCGCGGGCTCGGACCAGCGCCGGAGCGGCCCCAACGCCCGGCGCCGCGCTCCCAGATAATGGCTGCCGGCAGGGTCCGCGCCCCGGCGCGGCGGGACTACAACTCCCAGCGTGCCCCGCGCGCGGGCCCGCCCACACTCACAGCGCTACCGCGCCGCTGGGCACCATGGGAGCTGTAGTCCGAGCGGGGCACACACACACGCACACCCCCCCGCTCCTCCGCCGTGAGCCGGGCCGTGACTTGGCCGGGAACGGGGAGGGGACGCCCCGCGGAGGCCTTGGGCAAGGCCGAGGCTTAGCGAGGCCTAGCAGGCCGCGGGCCGGAGTGCGGCCTAACCGGGCCGCGTGCGCACTGCAGCTCCCGGCGCTCCCCGCTGCCAGGCCGCTCAGTCCATCGCCAAGCGGGCGGCGGAGCTGTGTCACGGTCGGGGACGGGGGCTTCACCCCAGCCCGTTCCAGGATCCTGCGCGTTGGGATCGGGGAGCGGTGGGAGCAGGTTCAGGGGACGCTGGAGATGGCCCCGCACGAGCTGCCCCCGGTGCCCCTGCTCCATGGGGAATGGCAGCGGCCGGGCCCCGATTGGGGTGATGAGGGGTTGACACGGGGGTCTGGGGGGTTACAGAGGGTTTTATACTGGTTTCACACTGGTTTCATACCAGTTTTATACTGGTTACACACTGGTTTTATACTGTTTTCACACTGGTTTCACACTGGTTTTATACGGGTTTCACACTGGTTTCATACTAGTTTTATACTGGTTTCACACTGGTTTCATAGTGGTTTTACACTGGTTTCACACTGGTTTCCCACCGGTTTCCCACCGGTTTCACAGTGTAACACATTAACACAAGGTTACCCTGCCTTCACCCAACTTTACACAATGTTGCACTGGTTTTGTACAGTGTAACGCTGCTTCCACATGGATTCACGCCGCTTCCACACGGATTCACGCCGCTTCCACACGGATTCACACTGGTTCCACACGGATTCACACTGGTTCCACATGGATTCACGCCGCTTCCACACGGATTCACACTGGTTCCACACGGATTCACGCTGGTTCCACACGGATTCACACTGGTTCCACATGGATTCACACTGGTTTCTCATGGATCCACACTGGTTCCACATGGATTCACACTGGTTTCTCATGGATCCACACTGGTTCCACACGGATTCACACTGGTTCCACATGGATTCACACTGGTTACTCATGGATCCACACTGGTTCCACACGGATTCACACTGGTTCCACACGGATTCACACTGGTTTCTCATGGATTCACACTGGTTTCTCATGGATCCACACTGGTTCCACACGGATTCACACTGGTTTCTCATGGATCCACACTGGTTCCACACGGATTCACACTGGTTTCTCATGGATCCACACTGGTTCCACACGGATTCACACTGGTTCCACACGGATTCACACTGGTTCCACATGGATTCACACTGGTTTCTCATGGATTCACACGTGTTTCACACGGATTCACACTGGTTCCACATGGATTCACACTGGTTTCTCACGGATTCACACTGGTTCCACACGGATTCACACTGGTTCCACATGGATTCACACTGGTTTCTCATGGATTCACACTGGTTTCTCACGGATTCACACTGGTTCCACATGGATTCACACTGGTTTCTCACGGATTCACACTGGTTCCACATGGATTCACATTGGTTCCACATGGATTCACGCTGGTTTCTCATGGATTCACACTGGTTCCACATGGATTCACACTGGTTTCTCATGGATCCACACTGGTTCCACATGGATTCACACTGGTTTCTCATGGATCCACACTGGTTCCACATGGATTCACACTGGTTTCTCATGGATCCACACTGGTTCCACATGGATTCACACTGGTTTCTCATGGATCCACACTGGTTCCACATGGATTCACACTGGTTTCTCATGGATCCACACTGGTTCCACATGGATTCACACTGGTTCCACATGGATTCACACGTGTTCCACATGGATTCACACGTGTTCCACATGGATTCACACTGGTTTCTCATGGATTCACACTGGTTTCTCATGGATTCACACGTGTTTCACATGGATTCACACTGGTTTCTCACGGATTCACACGTGTTTCACATGGATCCACACTGGTTCCACATGGATTCACACGTGTTTCACATGGATTCACACTGGTTTCTCATGGATCCACACTGGTTCCACATGGATTCACGCTGGTTTCTCATGGATTCACACTGGTTCCACATGGATTCACACTGGTTTCACATGGATTCACACGTGTTCCACATGGATTCACACTGGTTTCTCATGGATTCACACTGGTTTCTCATGGATTCACACTGGTTCCACATGGATCCACACTGGTTCCACATGGATTCACACTGGTTTCTCATGGATTCACACGTGTTCCACATGGATTCACACGTGTTCCACATGGATTCACACTGGTTTCTCATGGATTCGCACTGGTTTCTCATGGATCCACACTGGTTCCACATGGATTCACACTGGTTCCACATGGATTCACGCTGGTTTCTCATGGATTCACACTGGTTTCTCATGGATTCACACTGGTTCCACATGGATTCACACTGGTTCCACATGGATTCACGCTGGTTCCACATGGATTCACACTGGTTTCTCATGGATCCACACTGGTTCTCCCCAGTTTCCCACTGGTTCCTCACGCATTTCCTCTGCTTCCACCCCTTTCTCCCACCCCTCCCGTCCCCCCCCATCCATCCATTGGGATCGGCTCCATTTTCCCCTCCCGCGTGGGCCGGGGCCAGGCAGCGCTGCGGAGCCACCGAGCGCATCCACCGGGAGGCGGCGGCGGCGGCGGAGGCCGGGGAAGGGGGGGGGGGGGGGGGGGGGTGGAAGGCGGAGGGAGGGCGCAGGGAATTCAAACCCAAACAAGCGCATGGGGCGCGGACCCGCTCCGCGCCGCCTCTAACCCCGGGGCTGCCCCCCCACAGGGCTCGGGACCGGGCCCCGCCGCACCGGGGGGCAGGAGGAAGCGCCGGGTCCCTTCCTCCTCCTCCTTCTTTCTCCTTCCCCCCCCCCCTCCCCCGCCGTGCGGATCCCTCCCGCTTTAGGGGTTCGCGTCCTAAACTTCGGCTTTGACCCCCCCCCCTTTTTTTCCCCCTTCTCCCCCTTTCCCCCCCTTTCCCCCCTTCCTCTCGGCTGCACCGGGAGCGGCGGCAGCGAAGATGTCCCGGTCCAACCGGCAGAAGGAATACAAATGCGGGGACCTGGTCTTTGCCAAGATGAAGGGGTACCCGCACTGGCCCGCCCGGGTAAGCAACGAGGAAAAGGGGGGGGGACGACACCAACGGGACCCGGTTTCATCCTTCCCCCCTCCCCCCTTTTCCCGGTGCTCCCCGTTGCATAACGCGGCCGGTGAACCGGGAATGGGGGGGGGGGGACGGCGGGGACGGACACACGCGGGACTCCCGCTTGGATCCAACTTTACCGGTGCCTTATGTAAGGCCGCGGGGTGGAAAAGTTGGGGGGGGGGGGAAGCGCTTTGTGGGTGTTTTAATGGGGTTTGGGGGCACCGGGACCCGCGTCCCGGGCCCCTTTAGTGCCGTTTCCTCGCCTTCTCTCTTGGGGGGTGTGGAGGGGACGGGTGGGAATGGGGGAGCCCCCCCCAGGTTGGGTTCCTATGGGAAAATCCCCTCCCCCCTCCAATATCATCCTATTGTGACCCCCGTGGCCTTCCAATCGGCGCTGGCCATGGGGGGCCGGGAGTTGGGCTCTGGATAATGGATGTTATGGAGGAGTTGGGACGGAGTTTGGGGGGGGAGCACCCACACGTGGGGGTGTCGACGCAGGTGCCCCCCCTCCCCCCCCATGTGCCAGGCCCCCAGCCCCATTCCCGGCTGCCGGGCGGCATTCCCAATCCCATTATGAATGGGGGGGGGGGGATGATCCCTGCGCATCGCTGGGGACCCCAAAGCCCCCGGCGCGGGGGGGGGGGGGGGGGGGCAGCGCATGGGCCGCGCACAGCGGGATGCATCCAGCTTGATCCCGGTGGGAAGCTCCGGCCTGGGGATGCGGTTGGGGTTCTAGGGAGCACTTCCCGATGCAGTTGAATCCATGGAATGTTCCCCCCCCCCCCCGCCCCCTCTTCCCGGCCTTGTTGCAAACCGGGCCGCGAAACCCCCTCCTTCCCGAATCAAAGGAGCGCAGGGGAGGAATCCCCTCGCCACCATTCGCGACATTCCCAACCATTCCCGACCATTCCCGACCATTCCCTCCTCCTTCCCCCCCCCCCCCCGGCTTTGAATAACTTTTGTTTGGTTTGTAGGGCTCTGGCGGGGAGGCCGCGGAGGGGGTTGGGAAGCGCTCGGCTTTGGCAGCGGCTTTGCGAGGAGGAGCCGCAGGGATCCACCATCATGGAACAGGTTTTCCATGAGGGATAGGGGGGGATAAAGGGGGGATGTGGGGTGTTGACCCCCCCCCCCCCCCGTCACCGCTCCCTCCGGTGACTAACCCCGTGACTAATGGGGTGCTGTGATGAAACGCGCTGGGATGGTTGCTCCCGACCAGGTGTGGCTGGAATGGCGAGGGAAGGAGCAGGAATGGCAAAGGGAAAGCTGGAAGCACCACGGGGAGCTCAGGGTTATGGCGGCGGCTCCGTGCTACCCCCTGCCCCCCCCTTCAGTTCAATGGGGCAGCGCTAAAGAGAGGGGAAACTGAGGCAGGCAGAGGAGCTGCCTCGCACACGCACCTCCATCCTCTTCCTCGCATCGCAGCCCTCATCCATACAGCCAGAACCCACTGGGATGAGGTGGGATCACAGCAGGGACTGGAATGCCCTGCGCCAGGCTCCCATTCCCCATTGCCAGGCACTGTGGGGCAGGAGGGGGGGCTCCCTGTGGCCAGGTTGGATCCCCTTTGGGGCTGAATCCAGGGAAGCTGTGGGCCGGGGCTGGTGGGTGCTGGGAGCAGCCCCATGGGTGCGATGGGGCCACATGGTCCTGGGGCTCGGGCTCACCCCGGCCCCCCCCCCCCATAGCAATGAATCCCATTCCCTATGGGGGGGACCTGAGGCGTGGGGGGGCTGCTCCCAGCCCTGCCTTCGGGATCCTGGGACCTCCCTTTGCCCGCTCCTGCCCCATGGACCAGTCACAAAGGGCAGGAGCAGAGGTTGGGGGCAGAGTCCAAGTGGGGCTCGTGCCCAGGCGCGCTCTGGAGCCGCTTGCTCCCAGTGCCCCCCAGTGCCGGGGGGGAACAGGACGGGGACAGCACCGGGTGCGCTTTACCCTGCGATGGGATGGCCCAAGCAGGAGCAGGGCCTGGGCCAGGGCTGTTTGTGCCCCCCCCCAGCACCCATGGGTGCTATCGCGGGCCTCAGTGGGGCACCACCCACCTGGCCCTGCTGATAGAGCCCCATGGGAGGTGCAGGGGCGCAGGGATAAGGGTGGGGTGCTGGGGCCCCGCTCACCCGCCCCATCTGTGGCCCCCAGGCATGACTTTGGCCATGGATGGGTCCTGGTGCTCCATGTCCGGATGAGGCTGTTCCCAGTTGGAGAGGGTCCCTTCGACCCAAACCGTGTCCTCAGCGGCATTCCTTAGGGAAGAGGGTTGGAACCAGCACTATGGGGGGGGGGTCGGGGGCCGTGTTCCCACCTGGGATGCTGAGCCTTTGCTGCATCACCCTGGGAATGACCCGGGAGAAGGCGCTGTGAGGGTGAGAGCATCCCCGCTTCGCTCATCCCTGCCCCTGGAATGCCTCCATGTGTTTGGAGGGGACAGGGGAAGCTTTGGGGCAGGATGGCGCTGCCATGGGGGGGGTCGGGTAGGGCACGATCCCAAATCACCCCCTGGAGCTGGGAAGAGGGATGCTCCCGCCTGCATTTGGGCAGGGGGGATGGCAACGGAGGCGCATCCTGGTCCAGCTCCCTGGGAGCAGGGAATGCTTGCAGCAGCTTCCCGCTCATTCCCGATGCCTGCAGCCCCTTGGGACAACAGCATCTGTCAGTGCTGGATGCAGGGGATGAAGCCGGGCGGTATTCCCAGCTCTGGGAAGGAAACCCTCAGCCGGGTCAGGCCTTTGAGTACCCCATTGGCTGGTTTGGGAGGCAGGGGAGTGGGGGACACTGGGGGGGAATGGGACCCAGCACCCCAAGGGCCTGCTCGGCTCCTTGCAGGCTTCCTTTGGGGATTGCTGGCTCCTGGAGCCCGGGGGGGGGGGGTGTTTGTGTTATTTTTAGCTGCTATTTAAAGCCACCGGAGTCGCTTTCGCTCTATTCCCATTTGGCACCTCGGGAATTTTCGTGCTCAGGGAAGTGGCACCCGACAGCACCGGGATCATGGCAGCATCGGGGGGGGGGTCGTCCAGCACTGAGAGCCCCAACACCTCCTCTTTATCCCCCCCCTCCGATCCCAATGGAAGCGACGGCTCCTGCCTGGATCCACCTGAGCCAGACAAGAGCTTAGAGCGGCCACCCATGGGGTGGGAGAAGGGTGATTCCCAAAGGTGGCTGCTGCTGCTCTCCCAAGCTGTGTGCGGTTGGATGCGGTACCCGGGTGTTCCCGATGCTCATCCCATTCCCTGCATCCCCCAGATTGACGAGATGCCGGAAGCTGCAGTCAAATCCTCCTCCAACAAATACCAAGTGTTCTTCTTCGGGACCCACGAGACGTGAGTGGGGCCGGGGGGGGGCGAGGCAGCGCTACCCTATGGGCATGGGGCGAGGCGGGATCCATCCCTGACTGCTCCCTGCATCCCGAGCAGGGCGTTCCTGGGGCCCAAAGACCTCTTCCCCTATGAGGAATGCAAGGAGAAGTTTGGGAAGCCCAACAAGAGGAAAGGCTTCAGCGAGGGCCTCTGGGAGATCGAGAACAACCCCACAGTGAAAGCCTCCGGCTATCAGGTCGGTGGTGCCTGGAGGGCCATTCCATGTGCGGCATTCCTACGGGATTCCCTGTGTGATTTCCTGTGTGATTCCCTACACAATCCCTATGTGATTCTGTATGATTCCCTACGCGACCTCTATGCAATTCCCTGCGTGATTCCCTATGCAATTCCCTATGTGATCCCTATGCGATTCCCTACATGATTCCCTATGTGATTCCTTGTGTGATTCCCGATACGATCCCTATGCAATTCCCTAAGCAATCCCTATACGATTCCCTCTGCAATCCCTATACGTTTCGCTATGCAATCCCTATATGTTTCCCTATACAATCCCTATACGTTTCCCTATACAATCCCTATACGTTTCCCTATACAATCCCTATACGTTTCGCTATGCAATCCCTATATGTTTCTCTATACAATCCCTATATGATTCCCTATACATTTCCCTATGCAATCCCTATGTGATTCCCTATACGTTTCCCTCTGCAATCCCTACATGATTCCCTCTGCAATCCCTACATGATTCCCTCTGCAATCCCTATACGATTCCCTCTGCAATCCCTATACGTTTCCCTGTGCAATCCCTATGTGATTCCCTATACGTTTTCCTCTGCAATCCCTATACGTTTCCCTATGCAATCCCTATATGTTTCCCTATGCAATCCCTATACGTTTTCCTCTGCAATCCCTATACGTTTCCCTATGCAATCCCTATATGTTTCCCTATGCAATCCCTATACGTTTCCCTCTGCAATCCCTATACATTTCCCTATGCAATCCCTATATGTTTCCCTATACAATCCCTATACGTTTCCCTATGCAATCCCTATATGATTCCCTATACATTTCCCTATGCAATCCCTATGTGATTCCCTATACGTTTCCCTCTGCAATCCCTATACATTTCCCTATGCAATCCCTATATGTTTCCCTATACAATCCCTACACGTTTCCCTATGCAATCCCTATACGATTCCCTCTGCAATCCCTATGCGATTCCCTGCAGCCCACCCAGAAGCAGACCTGCTCCGAGGCGGGCGCGCGGGAGCCGGAGGGCGATGGGGCCAAGAAAGGCAGCGCCGAGGGCAGCAGCGACGAGGAGGGGCAGCTGGTGATCGACGAGCAGGCCAGGGAGCGCGCCGAGAGGGCCGGGGCCAAGCGCCGGGCGGACGACGCTGCCCAGGTAGGAGGAGGACACCGGGAACGGCACCGCAGGCAATGGGAGGGGGGGTCCGGGGGTCCAGGCCGGGCTGAGCATCGCTTCTCCGTGCCCAGAACTCCCCCAAGCGCCCCAAGGAAGCGGAGGGGCAGGAGGGCCCCAAAGCCAACGAGGAGCCCCCCGAGGAGGAGGCGGCGAAGGTGAACGCGGGCGATGGGGACAAGAACAGCGCCGGGGCCGTGCCAGAGGCCACGGGGATGGGTCCGGAGGAGCTCAGAGACCACGAGGAGAGGTGAGAGCGCACCCAGGGGCTCCGTTGGGAGAGATGGAGTCAGTGCACCCTGAGCGCTGCCCTGTGTCTGTGTCCCCATTGCAGCCTGTAGCGGGGTTCCATTGGGAGCGATGGAGCCAGCGCACCCTGAGCGCTGCCCTGTGTCTGTGTCCCCATTGCAGCCCATAGCGGGGTTCCATTGGGAGCGATGGAGCCAGCGCACCCTGAGCGCTGCCCTGTGTCTGTGTCCCCATTGCAGCCTGTAGCGGGGTCGGGCCCGGCCCCATTGTGCTCCCTTGGGTGCTGCTCGTCGTGGCCAGAGGAGAAGGAGCCCAGGAGCCGAGCGCGAGGCCGGAAGGAGGCGAGAGGCGGGCGTGGGCCCCGCTCCCGTGCATGCTCCCCGCAGCGAGCCCCGGGGGCTGAGCGGCTCCGGGACAATAAAAGCGATTCCTGCCTTTTTAAAGCGCTTCCGCCGGGCCTCGCGGCTCCTTTGCGCCGGGCCGGGGAGAAAATGGAGCCGCGGCCGGGACTACAGCTCCCAGCGGCCCCCGGGAGGGCCGCGGGCGAGCCCCGGCCTCGCGTGTGGAGCCCCGCAGGGCGGCGGAGAGGGAGAGCGGGCTCCAGAGAGGGCCCGGGCCCGGACACCGGTGGGAGGGGGTGGACTACAACTCCCAGCGTGCACCGCGGCGGCAATGCTCCGCGCAGGAGCGGGGCGGGTGAAGGACTACAACTCCCAGCGTGCACCACGCCGCGAAGCACTGCGCAGGCCCAGAGTGCGCGTGGGTGCATGAAGGACTACAACTCCCAGCGTGCACCGCGCCGCCGCTGCCCCTCGCGGGACTACGCCTCCCGGCGTGCACCGCGCCAGGCCACGCCCCCCTCGTGGACCGGAGGGCGCTGAAACCGGAGGTGAGGGCGGGGGTCGCGGTACCGGGGGGCACCGGGGGCCTATGGGGGTCCCCTTGGCACTGGAGGCTCTATAGGGGGCCCTATGGGGGGGTCTCCACGTTCAGGGGGTGCCTTTGCGGGGGTGAGCATCTATGAGGGACCCGGGGTGTCCCCCCCGTGTCACAGCACCCATGGGGGCCTCCGTGTGCCCCATGGGGGTCTCAGCGTTACCCCCCCCCCCAGCCATGCGCCTCTCGGCCGTGCTGGCAGCGGCGCGGCTTCCCCCCGGTTACCGGCACGGGACGTGGCCCCCGGACACGGCGGCCGCGCGGCGCCGGAACCCGCCGGGGCAGCGGCGCCGCAGGGTCCTGGTGGAGCCCATCGACAGCGAGGAGTGGAAGGTGTTCCAGGGGGACACGGTGAGAGCACGGCCCCCTCCGTACTGCCCCCATCCCCGCTAACGGGGCCGTGCCCGTTGAGCCCCGGTTCTCCCCCTGCCGCAGGTGCAGGTGCTGAGCGGGAAGGACGCGGGGAAGCAGGCGATGGTCACCCAGGTCGTGCGCGCCCGCAACTGGGTGGTGGTGGAGGGGCTGAACACGGTGAGGATGGAGCTGGGTGCTTGGGGGGGGAGACGGACAGGCACAGGCTGGGGGTGCCGATGGTGACCCCCCCATCCCCATGGCAGCACTACCGCTACATCGGCGGCACCTACATCGCGAGCGAGGCGCCGCTGCTGCTCAGCCAGATCACGCTGGTGGACCCTGAGGACCGGTAACGGGCACTGGTGGTGATGGGGGGGGGACGCTGTTGTGACACTCCCCCCCCGTATTGAAGCTGCTCCTTGGTGCCAGGAAGCCCACGGAGGTGCAGTGGCGTTACACGGAGGAGGGCGAGCGCGTCCGCGTGTCCCTGCGCAGCGGCCGCATCATCCCCGTGCCGCTGCAGCCGCGCCGCGACGGCATCGTCCCCGAGCAGTGGATCGGTGCGTGGGGACGTGGGGACAACGAGATGGGAGCGGGGACACACACACAGAGCACGGTGGGGGGGGGTCAACGCTGTCCCTTTGCACGCAGATGGCCCAAAGGACACGTCGGTGGAGGATGCGATGCAGAAGACGTACGTGCCGTCCCTGAAGACCTTCGAGGAGGAGATCATGGATGCAATGGACATAGTGGAGACGCGCAGGGCTAAGAAATCCTACTGGTACTAAGTGGGGGGCACTGGACACCCCCCCTCCAAGCAATAAAGACCTCTCACTCTGCCCCATGGGGGGTTTATTGTGCCAGGGGGCTCTGTTCCTCTGGGGGGGACTCAGCTTCATCCTCGCTGCCATCCTCCTCCTCCAGCCCTGCGAGCACCGTGCCCAGGGGACAGCGCGCAGCCACCAGCACCAGGTTCCGGGGGGAGAACCGGGGGTCGAAGAGGGGCACGAGGGCGCAGTGGAAGCCTGTGGGGACACGGGGGGGCTCAGTGATGGCACCGGTGCCGGTGTCACCGTCCCCCCAGTGCCAGCGCCGGGCACCCACCGCGCTCGCGCAGGTAGAGCAGCCGGTCCAGGAGGATGAGGGTCTCCACCAGCGGCGCCAGCAGCAGCGTGAGGCTGAAGAAGGCCACGACCTTGTGCTGCTGCTCCAGCATGGTCCCGACGGCATCCGAATCCAGCGGGATGGAGGCAGGATCCAGCCCCACGCGGGGCAGCCCCAGGCGGGCGTATCTGGGGGGGGGGGGGGGTACACAACACACACAATGAGGGCGGGAGAATGGACTGAAGGGGGTCCCCCCAACCCCAAACTCACTGAGGGGCTGCCCCCCACAACCCAAAGTCACTGGGGGACACTAATGGGGCTCCCCCCCCAAACCCCACTGGGCACCCTTATTTGTGTGTCCCTCCCCCACACCTCAGTGGGGACCCTTACTAGTGTGTGTGTCCCCAAGACCTCACTGGGGATCCTTATTAGTGTCCCCCCACCCCAAACTCAATGGGGACCCTTATTAGTGTGTGTGTCCCCCCAAGACCTCACTGGGAACCCTTATTTGTGTCCCCCCCGCCCCAAACTCACTGGGGACCCCTATTAGTGTGGGTCCCCCTAAGACCTCACTGGGGATCCTTATTAGTGTCCCCCCACCCCCTTATTAGTGGGTCCCTCCCCCAAACCTCACTGGGGACCCCTATTAGTGTGTGTCCCCCCCCAAGACCTCACTGGGGAGCACCCCGAGGGGGTTCCCCCCCCGTACTCACTGCGGGAAGCTGAGGGCATGCGCCTTCTTCACCGTCTGCACCCCCGGGCGCCGGAGGCCGGGCCGGGCCCCCCGGATGAGGGTCTCGAGCACAGCCCGGTAGCAGTGAGCCCTGAGGCGGGGGCTGCCCCCCCCCGCCAGGCGGTCCCGGTACTGCTCCAGCGCGTGGCAGGCGCTCTCCCGCGCCCGGTACGAGAGCTCATGGCCCGGTAAGGCCGAGACCCAGGCGCTGAGCGGGTACCCGGGGGGGGTCGAGAGCTTCATGTAGCAGCAGCCGACGGAGGCCACGGCGGCCACCGAGGGGCTGCGGGCGAAGTGCCGCAGCAGCGCCGGGCTCAGGTCCCCGCAGGCGTGGAGCCCCGTTACCAGCACCCGCGCCCCGTCCGCGGCCCCCCCCGGGCCCCCCAAGGGGTTGCGGGCAGCGGGAGCGGGGGGGTCCGGGGGTAACAGGAACTCCCCCCAGGGCAGCGCCGGGTCCAAGCGGCCCGGGATGTGCTGGGGACCCCGGGGGGTGAGCGCGGAGCGGGACCGGGGGGGGCCGCGGCGCCGGGGGTGGGGGGCGGCTCCCCCCGCTTTGTGCAGCTCCCGCAGCAGCTCCCGGTCGAAGCGTTCGGCGGCACCGGCCAAGCGGCCGTCGCCTTCCACCGCCGTCACCGAGAGCCCGAGGCCGAAGGCCAGGAACCGGGAGAGGTGGCCCTGGGGAAGGGGGGGGGGCACACTCAGACAATGGGGACACAACGGAGCCCCCCCACACCCCCGTTCCTACCTGCCCCGCTCCGACGTCCACCACGCGCGTGCAGCCGGTGGCCTGGCTGAGGCGCTGCAGGAGCTGTGGGCACAGGAGGGTGATGGAGGGGGGGGGTTTGGGGGGTCCCGGTGCAGGTTCTGGGGGGGGGGGGGGTCCCCACCTTGCCCAGGCGCCGGATCTCGTGCTGCTTCTTGGGCTTGACGTGGCGGCGGAGCAGCGGGTGCAGGCGGCGGCTCTGGCACGGGGGGCGCGGGGCGGCACCGGGGGGGCCCCGCGGGAAGGAGAGGGCCCGGGCGGCGGCGGCGAAGGCCAAGAGGGAGAGGGGCCAGAGCGGCCCCGGGCCCCCCGGCTCCGGCCCCCCCAGGAGGCGGGCGAGATGGGGGGGAGCGGCGGAGCCCAGAGCTGTTTGCCAGGGAGGGGGGAGCTGCGCCCACAGCCCCTCGGCGAAGAAATCCTGCGGGAGAGGGGGCAGTGGGAAAAGAGGGGGGGATATGGGGGGATATGGGATGGGTATGGGGGATATGGGGGGAATGGGGGGATATGGGATGGGTATGGGGGATATGGGGGGATATGGGATGGGTATGGGGGATATGGGATGGGTATGGGCGGCATGGGGGGGATATGGGATGGGTATGGGGGGATATGGGATGTGTAAGGGGGGTATGGGATGGGTATGGGGGGATATGGGATGGGTATGGGGGGATATGGGGGTACATGGGATGTGTATGGGGGTACATGGGGGCATATGGGGGTACATGGGGGGATATGGGGGTACATGGGGTACATGGGATGGGTATGGGGGTACATGGGATGGGTATGGGGGTACATGGGGGATATGGGGGTACATGGGGTACATGGGGGGATATGGGGGTACATGGGGTACATGGGATGGGTATGGGGGTACATGGGATGTGTAAGGGGGTACATGGGGTACATGGGATGGGTATGGGGGGATATGGGGGTACATGAGATGGGTATGGGGGTACATGGGATGTGTATGGGGGTACATGGGGTACATGGGATGGGTATGGTGGTACACGGGGTACATGGGATGGGTATGGGGGTACATGGGATGGGTATGGTGGTACACGGGGTACATGGGATGGGTATGGGGGTACATGTGGGACATGGGATGCGCACGGGGGGTCACTCACGATGACGCAGGCGTCGAGCAGGGGCCGGTACAGGGACAGGAGTCGGACGATGTCGGCCGCACGCTGCTGCTCCCACTGCAGGGTCCCGCGGGGGGAGGCGGCCATGGTGGAGCCCTGGCGGGAGGAGTGTGTGTGATGTCATCCGGGGGTGTGACGTCATCACGTGGTGTTACATCATCCTGGGTGTGTGATGTCATCCTGGGGCTATGACATCATCCTGAGGGTTCCCCTGTGGCTGTGATGTCATGGGGGTGGGGTGTGTGTGTCCCCTTGGAGCTGTGATGTCACCCATGTGGCTGTGATGTCACCCCAGGGTGTTTCGCGGGACTCTGACGTCACCACTAGGGCTCTGACGTCATCCCCCCTCCCCCGGCTGTGAGCTAAGGCAGGCCCATGACATAACCGGGCAGTGACGTCACTGGGAATGCGGCTCCCTCGCTGTGACGTAATCAGACCGTGCCATTCCCCCCATCTTCCCGTAGCCGTGACGTCATCACCGGGCATCCTCCCCCCGGTCTGGTCAACGCCGTGACGTCACCCGAGACGTCACCGCCGCGCTCAGCCGCCGCGCACCACTCACCGCCGCGCTCCAGCCGCGCCAACGCCGCGCAGCGATACCGCGTCACTTCCGCCGCGCCGTTACCCCGCCTCCTTCCGGTGCCGCCGGTACCGGGGGGGGGCCGGGCCCCGTCCCGCGATGTCGGAGCTGATCCTCAACGTGCACGCGGCGCCCCCGGCGCGGCCCCGCGCGGCCTCGCGCGGCAACCGGAAGCACCGGCGCTTCCTGCGGCGGCGGCGCGCGGAGCGGCGGCGGCGGGGCCCGAGCCGCGAACCGGAGCCCGCCCGCGCCTCGCCCAGCTCCGAGCCCGGCGGGAGCGGCTCCCCGGGGCCCGCAGCGCCCCCCGGCGGCGCGGCGGAGGCGGCGGTGGTGGCCATCGACTGCGAGATGGTGGGCACGGGGCCCGGCGGGCGGCACAGCGCCCTGGCCCGCTGCAGCATCGTGGGCTACGGCGGGGCCGTGCTCTACGACCGCTACGTGCGGCCCGCGGCGCCCGTCGTGGACTTCCGCACCCGCTGGAGCGGGATCCGCCGGCACCACATGGCCCGCGCCGTCCCGTTCGTGGCGGCCAGGAAAGAGGTGCGGAAACGGCGGCGGGCGGCGGGAGGGGCTGGCCCCGGGGCGGGGGGGACAGCAGCGCGGCCATAGCACTGCGTGGTGAGCATGCACAGCGCTGCATGGAGCTCATCCATAGCACTGCATGGAGCTCATCCATAGCACTGCATGGAGCTCATCCATAGCGCTGCATGGAGCTCATCCATAGCACTGCATGGAGCACATCCATAGCACTGCATGGAGCACATCCATAACACTGCATGGAGCTCATCCATAGCACTGCATGGTGAGCATGCATAGCGCTGCATGGAGCACATCCATAGCACTGCGTGGTGAGCATGCATAGCGCTGCATGGAGCTCATCCATAGCACTGCATGGTGAGCATGCATAGCGTTGCATGGAGCTCATCCATAGCGCTGCATGGAGCACATCCATAGCACTGCATGGAGCTCATCCATAGCGCTGCATGGAGCTCATCCATAGCACTGCGTGGTGAGCATGCACAGCACTGCATGGAGCTCATCCATAGCGCTGCATGGAGCTCATCCATAGCACTGTGTGGTGAGCATGCACAGCGCTGCATGGAGCTCATCCATAGCACTGCATGGAGCACATCCATAGCACTGCATGGTGAGCATGCATAGCGCTGCATGGAGCTCATCCATAGCACTGCATGGAGCACATCCCTATGGAGGGAGCAATGCATCCATAGCACTGCATGCAGCACATGCATAGCACTGCGTGGAGCTCATCCATAGCGCTGCATGGAGCACATCCATAGCACTGCGCGGAGCACATCCCTATGGAGGGAGCAGTGCATCCATAGCACTGCATGCAGCACATGCATAGCACTGTGTGGAGCTCATCCATAGCGCTGCATGGAGCACATCCATAGCACTGCGCGGAGCACATCCCTATGGAGGGAGCAGTGCATCCATAGCACTGCATGCAGCACATGCATAGCACTGCGTGGAGCACATCTCTATGGAGGGAGCAGTGCATCCAT